TTCTAAATACCACAGAATAAGTTCCAATTATCAGACTGGTAATGAATTTGGTATATGGCCACATGTTCACATGAGCATTTCATGCTTGATTTAGATTATATAATTATTGTGGATTCTTCCCTGGTTACCCAATTTCAAAGGAGAGTGCATTTAGAGACAAACACCTTAGTGCGGGTATTATTGTCTTACGTGTATGACAACATATCTATTTTTTTTTTTACTTCAACTCTACGACAAATGTAGACACATTTCCTGTTAAATAACACCGACTAGCCAATGAATTTTTTTCTGCTCAGAAGGTGCCAGAATGATTGCATAATGAAAATTCTGAATTTTTTTTTAATTCATCAAGTGAACAGGTGAAAGCACAAGCAGATAATAAAAATACAAGCTTTTGTCAATACTCTTCCCATTTACCTTTCCTTTACATTTAGTGCTATACAGTTGAAGCTTACTCCTCTCGCCTACACGGTGATACTTCTTATAATCTGTGGACAAAGGTAGTGTATGTCAGTTTTCCACTTTTGGATATATATTAACAATTTCATCTCCACTAGGAAAACCCAATGTAATTGAACATACTCTGTATGTCAAAATATTTTTTACCGGTTTGATTTCCCTGAAATTCAGTCTCCTAGAGGTTGGGTTTCACACAGGATATACTTTGAAACAGACAAAAGAAAATCAACATGTTACATCAATGATTGACAGACAAAATGTTTCCAGGCACCACTTAGACAGGTACCAAAACAACAACAGACGAAATGTACTCAGACAATACTTACAGTGGCAACAAATTAAATTACAACAGACGAAAAGTATCCAGACACCACTATAACGATGACAGACGATGGTTACCCAGGCATCACATAGAAAGGCTATAACACGACGACAGACGAAGGTTACCCAGACATCACTTATACAGGCTATAAAACGACGACAGATGAAGGTTACCCTGAAATCACTTATACAGGCTATAAAACGACGACAGACAAAGGTTACCCAGACATCACATAGACAGGTTATAAAACGACGACAGAAGAAGGTTACCCAGACATTATATAGACAGGCAATAAAACGACGACAGGCGAAGGTTACCCTGAAATCACTTATACAGGCTATCAAACGACGACAGACAAAGGTTACCCAGACATCACTAATTATACAGGCTATAAAACGACGACAGACAAAAGTTACCCAGATATCACATAGACAGAAAATAAAACGACGACAGACGAAGGTTACCCAGACATCACAAAGACAGGCTATAAAACGACGACAGACGAAGGTTACCCAGACATCATATAGAGAGGCTATAAAACGACGACAGACTTAGGTTACCCAGACATCACATAGAGAGGCTATCAAACAACGACAGAAGAAGGTTACCCAGACATCATATAGAGAGGCTATAAAACGAAGACAGACGAAGGTTACCCAGACATTACATAGACAGGCTATAAAACGACGACAGACGAAGGTTACCCAGACATCATATAGAGAGGATATAAAACGACGACAGACTAAGGTTACCCAGACATTATATAGACAGGCTATAAAACGACGACAGACGAGGGTTACCCAGACATCACAAAGACAGGCTATAAAAAGACGACAGACGAAGGTTACCCAGACATCATATAGAGAGGATATAAAACAACGACAGACTTAGGTTACCCAGACATCACATAGAGAGGCTATCAAACGACGACAGAAGAAGGTTACCTAGACATCATATAGAGAGGCTATAAAACGAAGACAGACGAAGGTTACCCAGACATTACATAGACAGGCTATAAAACGACGACAGACGAAGGTTACCCAGACATCATATAGAGAGGATATAAAACGACGACAGACGAAGGTTACCCACACATCACAAAGACAGGCTATCAAACGACGACAGACGAAGGTTTAACAGACATCATATAAAAATACTGTTATTATCAACCAGTTTACTTAGATGCTAAAAGATTCTTAATATATGGATGTAATTTATATTTTTAAAGGGGCCTAGACAAAGACTTGAATTTAATATTTTCTTAAAGAGACGCCGTGACGGAAAAACGGGAAAATTGACAAAGGATGACTGCACTTAACGCCTGTTTTTGGGTCTTTTTCGGTTGCTTCTGTTGCTTTTATATCTAAACTTTATTTCACCTTTGTATGTTTATGAAAGAATCCTGTCAATTTGGAACCAAATTTAAATCTTAAAATGATTTTAGACTGTGATACAATAAAATGATTCAATGTTTTTTGTCCTCAGTGCTTTCAAAATATAGTGAATTTACACTTACTTGCCCTTGAATGAACATTAGATATGCATGAGAGGTGGAGCTAACATTGTAAATATGGGTCTAAAATTAGACTTGATAAATAACAATGACATGTTTGAAAAAAAGAACGTGGTCACTCTTTCCAATCTCCCTCTCCATTCTGTATGGCACAAATACACTTCTGACAAAGGTTTCAAAACGAAGCTAACAATATGAGCACGTCAATGTTATTAAAGCAGATTGTATATCCATGCCAGATGACTTAACGTATTCGAACACAATGTCCTAGTTAGCACAAAACATGCTACCTTACAAGTCACGTGACGGAATTAAGTATTCACAGAGTTACCTGAGGTAGGACACCACGTGGTGAATTATAATATTCAACATGTCACAATCCTTGTTTACAACACAGAGAGCGAAAGTAAGAAGAAGCAGTTTTTTCTCTTTTTAACCATGAGCGCATGTTTGTCTATTAATCTCCTTTTTACACATTATTATTTATGCAAATATACAACTATTGTGAAACGGAGAACAATAGACAAACATGCGCTGACTATGTATAAAGTCAGTAAAAAAGTGGGCGTCCTCATTATCGTACGGAGATTCAAGAAATTGTGATGTCCCCTGCCTTTGAAAACAGCTTCGAACTTCGTAAATACACACTTTTATTAAAACGTAATTACATAAAGTTATAGATTGGATGTTGGCCATTCTTGCAATGAAAAGAAAAATGCTTGTTTTGAAAGTTTATTTTGTCGCAGATTTCGCATATCCTTAAGTGCAGTCATCCTTTAAAGTAGAATTTTTGCAAGACACATGCAAATTTTATTCAATTCTTGAAAGTATTAGGTTTCCGAACCTAAAAAATCTACTTTTATGGAGAAAAATATAAGAAAAAATAATTTTAGTTTGCCCCAGCACGAAAATATTGCTTTAATTACTTCTTCCTCATTAAGTACGCATGCGCAGAAAAGTTGAAGAAGTTACCATGGTGTCAATTCCATAGATATAAATGTCGGATGACCGAGGATTTTGATATAATCTTCAAACAAGATGATCAGAACTTATTTCTAACTTTTGATTGCTCCAATACTCTGTTGTTTACAAGTTTCACGCTAAAAATAAAAGACACGTGGTCTTGACATTGTTGACATTGACGATAACAGCCACGCCATAGATACAACTTTTCTTTTTCCGGCACTTACATTCTGCAGTCTTTTCTTGCTTTTATCGTGCAGTTGAGATCTCAGAACTTTGCTTTATTCATATTTCTCCTAAATCTTTAGCTTTATGATACAATTATCTTAAAAGAAACACATGATATCGATTGACTCACTTTGCAACTTAAATTTTCTGTATAATATCATGACTTTATTTGTTGCTATAGCATTTCACACGGAAATGTAATAAAAGCGTGTTCAATAACTTCTTTTATCTGGAAATTATTGAAACTACGAAATTTGGGACGTTTGATTGACACATCCTTGCACTTTCACAAAGTAAACGTTATCCTTAATAAAAAAAAAAAAAGTATAGAAATTTTGCTGTGTATTAATCATGTTAATGAAAAATATTAAAACAGTAATCCAGAAAATTCAGAGTAGAAATGTGAGAAAGCTAATTAAAAGCAACTCACCAGTATTGTCAGTCCGTGTTCAGTGATGTGTCAGCAGAGTTTAACAAATTGAACACATCCCGTAAAACGTAAACATTAACCATAACAGAGCTCGTGCCCTGTTAAAAAAACCCAGATGTTTGACGTGATGTAAAGAAGAATGTCGAATTCTAAGAATATTCATGTAAGTTCAATATTCATAAATTAATTGGTTTTATTTTTTGAATAAGCATAGAAATTTAAAATGTAAACAATACAACTGTATCCAAGCCCCTTTAAAAAATCTCTCTGATTTTAATTCGCGTGTGAAAAATATCCAAGAGTTTCACGACTGATCTTTCCTTGGCGAAAATTACTTGCTGTAAACCATATAACCATAAAACTATAATATGTCTAAGATTTTCTGTAAACCATATAACTTCGCGAAAACGAAAGAAAATGGTGAATAAGCTATGTTTACTTTATGAAAATCTCCACAACTTGCAACAATATCACACAAGTATTGAATTATATCATGCACACTCCAAAGAAAGAATTGTTCTTCATGGAAGTGGACAATCAGATCGACAATCTGAAAATTTAAAAAAAATGGAGAAGAAAAACCCGGAAAATAATACTGCATCTTTTTTATAAGTGAGATAAAATCATTTCAGGATATATAGGTTTTGTAAGTTCTAGTTGAACATTGTTAGACTTAATTTGTCTTTTTCTGTGAAATATTTCTTACTTATTAAACAGTGGGCAAAAAATAGAAAAAGATGGGGTTGGGGTTTGTTTGAACCAATATTTCAAGAAGAAAAACAATTTTTTTAGCTAAGCTCCGAGGCAAAACAGTGGATTATTCCTCCTCAGTAAAACTTTATTTTCTTATTTAGTTATTTTTGTTTGTTTGTTTGTTTGTTTGTTTGTTTGTTTGTTTGTTTGTTTTTTGTTTTTGTTTTTTGGGGGGGGGGGTCTTTGTTTGTTTGTTAGTTTTTATTGTAATTTTTTCAGTCTAAAAAATATATTATTCAAAAGAAATCTTTTGGGGGTCGTTGGAGGACTGGACAAAAATTTCGGCTTTTAGTCCGTCTCCAGATCACCTTTTACAATGTTTGTAAACAGGAAGTGAACAGTACCCGCCAAGAATACAAGTTTATACGGGAAAAAGTAGTGAAAATCTAGTAGTTTATTGCTGTGGGGAACTGTTTATAAGTAAATTTTAACATGCCTCGAGAAATTATCACCTTACAGCTAGGACAATGTGGAAATCAAAGTAAGCTCTTAAACGAAAGTTACTTCTGAGCGATCGTTTGGTATTAACTCGAATTTCCTTTGAATTGGCAGAGTTTTAAAATCATGATTATGATGGCTTATTTCTGCCCTCTACATCATATGTAAGATAAATTATATTAACAAGCGAGAAAAATATGTCAACCATGCAAAACAATTATATATACATGCTAAATAATAATATATGCATGCAAAATTATTATCAGGTCCAGTCCAAAGACTATTTCTACCTACGTAGCTATTTATAGCTACCTAGGTATTTAAACCTACCCAATTGGCAAAGTAGCTATTTTACCTACTTTTTGCATTACTTGCATTCTGTGGCCAAACGGCCGAATGGTGCAACATGATGAGTGCCAAATTTCTTGATACAGTCACACTGATGATGAATACAACATTTTGGCCAAAAGATGATTACTTCGTAAATTAACAATTTTGCATAGTAATGAATGTGGGGATAAAAAAAAAAAAACATGTTCGCCAACAGTTGCCTCAGCTATTCTTATATGGATATAAATATAGCTAACTAAAAAAAATTTCAGCATTTTGCACCATATACATGATAAATTTATATCCCATTTGGGATATTATGCCCCCAACAGGCTTTTATATCCCATTTGGGTAGTTGGTCCCAGTCTGTCATAGCATACAGTACATGGTTTATCAGACTTAATTAGTGATGAAACGATTGTCACCGACAATCGATTGTCTTATCGATTGGAGCTCTTCAATGCTACTAATCGATTATGAAACAAAAGTCGTCGACATTGCAAACAAAAATATTAAAGGTTAATTTGGGTTTAAACTTCAAATTTATTACCAAAAAATCATTTGCAGACATTTTAAAAGTTATCCTGAATGTTTAAAACATAAAAACCTTCTTCATTTCACTTCAACTGTTGTTCTTGACAATTTTTACCGCCATCATTGAATGTAAGGTCAGGTTAATAGCAGGAATTAATGGCCAGCGTTATGGGATTGTAATACACAAACAGTACAGAAGCTCTATAAACTTAATTATTTTAAAAACAATTTTATAAGTCCAAATGAATTCATACAAAAGTTATTCCAAGAAAATAAATAATAAAAAGGTGTGACTAATATCAGTAATGTTCCCATTTGTATGCATGTGTTTATTTTTTTTAATGAAGCATCATACAGAAATTTAACTCTTATTTTCAATTTTACTGAGAGAAAATAAAGAATACTTTGTCTTTAAAAAAAATTTACTGAAAATTTTTTTTGTTTATTTATATATATTACTGATTTTATTTACTTATTGAACTTTGAATAGAAGAAGGTTATAAATATTGTTTTTGTGATTATGCTTGAACATGTTAAGGAATCTCTTATTTTATTTGAAAGGGTAAAAATCCCGATTATAGCTGATTATCAATCGATTATGTGTTTCCGATTACAACCGATTATCGATTATGATTTTTCTCCGATTATTCAACACTAGACTTAATGTTTATAAGCACCATGATGTTTTGTATATATTTCCATAAGCCTTTATGGTGGGCTCTGTCTTTAGCCAGTGAGAGCAATGATAGATTAGTACCAAGTAAATAATTTTGTGCTTTTATATTTACTTATAGTCGGAATGGAGTTTTGGAAGCAGCTCTGTGCAGAACATGGAATAAGTCCTGGTGAGTGAATTTCCTTTAGAACAGTGAAAAAATTTGTTAACATTATGGCATCTGTCTGCCTGGCGTATGTCCTGTGTTATCTGTAAACTTTAAACATTTCCAACTTCTCAACAATCACTGGGCCGATTTCAACCAAACTTGCCACAAAGCATTATTTGATGGAGGGCCACACCCTCTTTCAAGGGGAGACAAATAAAAAAGAGTGAAAATTTGCTGGCATCATTTCAAAATCTTTTTCTCAAGAATGACTGGGCTAGAAAAGACAAAATTTATGTGAATTTAGGCTTTCTTATATGTGTATCTGTATGTAGTGCAGATTGAAGTTTCTTTAAATCTTGGTAGGACAAGGCCAAAATAGGGGATCAAAGGAAAACATCTTCAAAGTGTTTTCTCTAGAACAGCAAGGGCACATAAGTAATTTTGATATCTTGAATTACCGTATTGCAGGTTTTCTTGGCAGGTGTAAAATTTGGCATTTTGCCTGCTCAAAGGTATGCCAATAGTTTTGGCGTAATTTATTTTAGCGGACACAGGGTTTCAACTCTTTGCAGATGAACACTAAGGAGAGTACTGAATATTTTAGCGATTAAAATTTTAGCGGACTACTTTCAAAATGCCAAAATTAGCACCCCGCTAAAATTACCTGCTATACGGTATTGTGTAATTTGCAGGTTTCACTTTGGTTAAGTCATGATCCTTTGAAGCTATGATAGGGCCACAATATAGGGTCAGAATTATTCGAGAGAATATAGAGGGAAAATTAGGAATAAATTGAGAAGAAAATTATTTTGCAATTCATTTATAACCTAGATTGCATTTCTTTCTCAGTGAAATATGAACATGCATGGCCTTACAAGTTTTAATTCAATATGTGTTGATTTATTTTCAGAGGGAATCTTGGAGGATTTTGCCACAGAGGGAACAGATAGAAAAGATGTCTTCTTTTATCAGGTTTGTGTTGTCAGTAACTTATTTTTAAAATATCTTATACGATAAATAATATTGTGTAATTTAACCACCATAGCCCTGTATCATATCATTCATATGGCAGTTAAAGATTACAGACACCGGCTGACTTTTGAAAGTTGATTTCATTCTGTGTCAATCAATGACACACTTAACTACCCACTGATCTTGTAACAAGTAAATGTTTGCTTTAAATTTAGCAAGGCAGTTAAAATTTCTGATTGTAACTCATAACTATGCAGTATTTTTCATGTAAATCTCAAACAGTCTCGTGAGAGATACTCTTTGGTTTTTTTTTTGTAGGCTGATGATGAACATTATATCCCTAGAGCAGTGCTGCTGGATCTCGAGCCTCGAGTCATCAACACAATCATGAACTCACCATACGCCAACCTGTACAACCCAGAGAATATATACCTATCTAAGCATGGAGGTGGGGCAGGCAACAACTGGGCTTCTGGTTATAGTCAGGTATAGGAAACAACTGGTATTTTGAAATGACCAAAAAAGTCCTTAAATCTTGTCTTTGACATCTGCCAAAGTTGTATCTTTGGAATGAGATAATTTTTTTGTCCTAATCTGGGCTATTCTGATCATTTGGCTGTTGCATGTCTCCTTAATTGAGCTACATTTCAAACTGAAGAGAATTAAAGAGAGATTCTAATGCAATTGTTTTGTAAAATGATATTTGATTGGCTAATGCAATGATGTTTGAGGCAGTTAAATGAGCATTAACGAGAGTGAAAGTTTTTGATTGTGACGTCATAATAGAGCGATGCAAAATCACAACACTCCGTGACGTATTTCATATAATAAAATGAAACAAAATAAGACGTAAACATCAAACAAAAGGCATAAATTGCATTAGAATATCTTCTAATTTGGTATTTGCGACCGTTAATGCTGATTTAACGGTCACAAACATCTGTTTTACCGGCTTAGCTTATGCGTCGCTGGTAAAACTCAAATTGAGACCGTTAAATCAGCATTAACGATCGCAAATACCAAATTAAAAGATAGTTATTCCCTAAATCATTTATTAATTAGATGATATTTTTCATAAATAGGCAGAGAAGTTGTACGAGGAAATCTTTGACATCATAGACAGAGAGGCTGATGGAAGTGATAGCCTTGAGGTAAGGTCAAAGGTGAATTGCAGATGTAAATATGTAAAAATTTTAACTTCTGAGAAAGTTTACTTATTCAACAAAAACAGTCAAACCTGGATATCTCAAAAATGGCAACTCTCATAAACAGATATCAGAAGGTTTGGGATATTGGAATTTAAGTTCCTATTCATAATATTGTTGGTTACCATAAACTGGATTCAACATATCAAGTATATATATAAGATTACCAATCCTTCTGTTTATAGGGCTTTGTTCTGTGTCACTCTATTGCTGGAGGAACAGGTTCAGGGATGGGGTCCTACTTACTGGAGAGACTCAATGACAGGTTAGTGGTGTTATTTATATATAAAGGAGGAGGGGGTGTCATTCTATCACTGGAGGAACAGGTTCTTGGATAAGCTTCTACCTATAGGAGAGGCTCAATGACATGTTCATGCTGCTGTTATATAGAGAAGAGGAGAGGGGTCACTCCTTCACTAGAGGGATGGCTTAGGGGATGGGCTCTTACCTATTGGAGAGGCTCAATCCATTGTTGACTGGTTAGGGAATGGGTTTCTACTTAATAGGGAGACTAAAAGACTAAAAAGGTTAGTGTTGTTATATAGAGGAGAGAGGATCAAAGGAGAGAAGGGTTAATATATGAAACTTGGAACAAAATTGTACAGTTCATAAGAGGTTGAAAACAAGATGTGTGAGGGAGTGAACAAGATGGGGAACAATTTTTGAGAAGGAAAATAAAGGGGTGTATGTAGGAAGAGTAGAATAGTGTAGTTCTTATAGAAGGAGATGAGAAGATGTTAAGATGGTAGAGACTTTTTACCAAAACCCATGCAATTGTATGAAAATTCTGACAAGGACTGGTTTTGGTTTATTTTAAACAGAATCCCAATGATGTAAATCACCAAGAACCTTTTGTGTGATGATACATCCATGCAACCAAAAGTTTGAATACTGACTTTGATGACAAACATTTTCATAACTCAAGTCAGCAAAATATTATACACTCCATAATAACCTTCATACAATTTTTGTTTAGAATCCAAATTCAGATTCATCAATTCTAACCTTAGGTTCCCAAAGAAGTTAGTGCAGACTTACTCTGTGTTCCCAAACCTAGATGAGATGTCAGATGTGGTGGTCCAGCCCTACAACTCATTACTCACGCTGAAGAGGCTCACTCAGAATGCTGACTGTGTGGTGTGTAGAACTTGCTCAAAATGCTGACTACTTTGGAATCATCAAATGTTTGTTGGGGATAGTTGTTACTTGATTTCATGGGACCAGGGTCACCCTTACCCACAAATTAACATCCCCATGAACGATTATCTTATCAAAGTATTGATTCATTGAATCTACTGTATAAACAAGTTTATATCCCCCCAAATTATTAAAATTTTGCTTGCCGACGAACATTAAACCCAACAAATTAAAATAATTCCATGGTATGTTGTACATCAAACTCACTCAAAATGCTGACTGTGTGGTAAGTTAAACTCAGAATGCTGAGTGTGTGGCATGTTTTGGTCAAGCTTACTCAGTTCTGCAGTGTAACACATGTATGTCATGGTCAAACTCAGAGAGCCCACTGCAGGATTTTTTTTGGGCTGAGTTCTTGTGCCATTGGTGCACAATATTTGTAATATTTGTATGTTGTGATGAATCATGATACCCAGGGACCATAAGCCTCTGCCAAGTCCAAGAAAAGAATTCTATGAAAAGTTTGGAAAGGCATTAAATCTTATACATGTTATAATAGCTGATGAAATGGTTTCTTATTGAGTGTGTATTTTTGTTGTATTTTTAGGTTGTATTAGATAACACAGCTTTAAACAGAATAGCAGCAGACAGACTTCATATAGAGACTCCAAACTTCTCTCAGATAAACCAGCTGGTATGTAATTAAAGTCACTGGAGAGTTAATGTAATGCTGAAACTGAAACAGTCAGGTAGTACTTAAAAGAGGAAGACCATTTGCTAGAGAGATATCTTGAAGCAACTTTTCAAAAATTAATTATGCAGGTATCAACAGTAATGTCCACCTCCACGACGACACTGCGTTACCCTGGTTACATGAATAACGATCTGATTGGTCTGATCGCCTCACTGATCCCCACCCCCCGCCTTCACTATCTGATGACAGGGTACACACCCCTGGCTACAAACTCACAGGTGAGTGTAGGGGGCATTTTCAACTTGATGGGGTTAAAGTCTGAACATATCAATGTTGTAGCAAAACAAAAATAGTAGAAACCATTTTACTTTCACTTGCCATCAATAAAGTCAAACTTTCCTATTGCAATGCTAAATGAATGTATATTTTTTGGAGATAAATTCGGAAAGTTGGAAACACTTTTTAAGCTTTTTTGTAGGGGTGGGGGGCTCAAAATTCTTTCTACAAACCTCTCAAAATACTTGCAATTTTTTCTTTAGCTCAGTGATTAAATGATCATTTAAACCTTAACTGTATGACCCCATATCTGTTTTTAACTTTACAGGTAGCGAGTGTCAGAAAGACAACCGTCCTAGATGTCATGCGGCGACTCCTGCAGCCAAAGAACATGATGGTGTCCACTCCCGTCCACCGGCAGGCCAACCACTGCTACATCTCCATACTTAACATCATACAGGGAGAAGTAGACCCCACACAGGTGTGTATTAACATCATACAGGGGAAAATAGACCCCCCACACAAGTGTGTATCAACATCATACAGGAGGAGGTAGACCCCCCAAAGGTGTGTATTAAAATCATGGGGGGGGGGGGGGGTAAACCTCACACAGGAGCATAATAATGTCATAGGGGGAAGTAGATCCCACACAGGTGCGTATTAACATCATAAGGGGAAGTAGACCTCACACAGGTGTGTATTAACATAATAGGGGGGAAGTAGACCTCACACAGGTGTGTGTTAACATCATACAGGGAAAAGTAGACCCCACACAGGTGTGTATTAACATCACATGGAGGAAGTAGACCCCACACAGGTGTGTATTAACATCATACAGGGGGAAGTAGACCCCACTCAGGTGTGTATTAACATCATACAGGGGGAAGTAGACCCCACACAGGTGTGTATTAACATCATGGGGGGGGGGGGGAAGTAGACCCCACACAGGTGTGTATTAACATCATACAGGGGGAAGTAGACCCCACACAGGTGTGTATTAACATCATAGGGGGGGAAGTAGACCCAGACAGGTGTGTATTAACATCATACAGGGGGAAGTAGACCCCACACAGGTGTGTATTAACATCATAGGGGGGGGAATGGACGCAGACAGGTGTGTATTAACATCATACAGGGGGAAGTAGACCCCACACAGGTGTGTATTAACATCATGGGGGGGGAGTAGACCCAGACAGGTGTGTATTAACATCATAGGGTGGGGGGAAGTAGACCCAGACAGGTGTGAGTTGTGTAGAAATATCTGTTGACCTTTTATTTCTTTTTACAACCTTGATATGTTTCTTATTACTGTGTAATTCAATTCAACACTTCAGCAATAGTGAACATTCTGATTTCTGTAAATCTCAGATCTTTAGCATGTATAGAAATTGAATTTTTGTCTTCTGAAGCAAAGTTGCAAGACTTTATTCAAGTGTCACCAGTGTGGTGGATACCAAGATATTACTATGCGGTCTTTCACTTTCTAGGAGGAATCATCCTTTTAATTAAAATTCTAATCCTTTTATTTTTAATTAAAATTCTAAATCCTTTTATTTTTAATGAAACCTTTCCAAAATATTAATCACAGTAAGCTTCAATATGCTTATTGAAAATTGTTTGGGTTATTTAGGAGGGGGAGGGATTTGGATTTCATTTTAAAAAAATAAGTAAGTCTGTTTATGGAAAATATTATTCAGAAGACAAATTTCTTTTAGAAACATACTGACTCGTTTAGTATTGGTGTCTTATTTTTTATGAATTCCTCAGGTACACAAAAGTTTACAGAGGATTAGGGAGAGAAAGTTAGCACAGTTTATTCCCTGGGGTCCGGCCAGTATCCAGGTGGCGCTGTCTCGGAAATCCCCATACATCCAAACAGCCCACAGAGTCAGCGGTCTGATGTTGGCAAATCACACCAGTATATCTACGGTAACAGGAAACTGTTGGTCATGTGATCAAATCCCATAAAATCCGAAGTTTATGGTAGATTTGATCACATACCAACACATATTTACATCCCAATAAAAGTTTTAAAATGATACCTTATTACTTATAATTTACATTTGTGACTGATTTATAATAAATATTTGCATACTATAGCTTAAAACCCATGAAATAATTTATTTTCTCAATCCTCAATAGTTTAAATTGAATGTATTGAAAACGTTGACCCCTTATTAAGTCCCTGTGAAATAACATCTTTTTCTGTCTTTTTTGAAGATGATTAATGCCAGAGACAATCATTTAAGAGAGAAAAATTATTTACAGCTGTATTAACATTTTGATTTTTAGGTGTGTATATATTGTTTTGTATAGAGGTCTTGTTTCCTGTATTTCTTTAGTTATTTGAGCGGACTCTACAGCAATACGACAAGCTGAGAAAACGAGAGGCTTTCATGGATCAGTTCAAAAAGGAAGCCATATTTAAGGACAACTTAGATGAGTTTGATAACTCAAGGGAAGTAATCCAGCAGCTGGTCGACGAATATCATGCAGCCACGAAGCCAGACTACCTCTCCTGGGGTACACAACAGGTAGATATCTTCTTTTTACCTCTTATGGTCAGAGATAATCCATCTGTCTGTCTGTCCATCTGTCAACAATTTTTCAAAACCCTATTCCTCCTACAGTTTTGGTCCAACTTTAGTAAGACTTAAATACAAGTAGACTACACTAAGATACATAATTCTATTATCACTTTTTGATTTTGAAAAATGGTGTTGCTATGGTTTTTAAAATTAGAAATTTCTTTGGAATTCTTTCAAAACGCTGTTCCTCCTACAGTTTTGGTCCAATTTCAGTAAGTCTCAGTACATACACTAAAAAGGGATACATAAAGTATACACCTATAGAGTTTTTACTGTAGTCATTTCAATTCCATACTAGTAAAATTTCGTAATGTGTTACCAGGATACCATTGGCAATGATTTTAGTATCAAGCTATAGGCTTGTGACAGATAATCCTTTGTATTAACTGATAATGTTATTCACTTTTGGTTTAATTTTGCAGAAAAATAATAAGCTGTGAACATTTTGAATATTTTGACTGGGCTCCAGTACAACAGAACTAAGGACCAGACTGTTTGAGACTGTCAGGTCAAAGGCAACAGTTTAGTTTAAGGGTTCGGCAAAACAGTTTGCCCAAGAGTCCAGTCAATAAAATGTGATACCTTTTGCTTTTATTATGAAGTATCTTGTGCTGGCTTCCACATCTGTGATAGATGATGACTATATTTTGCTGTATATTTTGTTTACCCACATGGTGACTTTAACTTGGCCAAGTTTGTAACTGTCAAATACAAACAGGTGCAAATTAGATATAGTTGATTCCGCTTTTGCTGAGGTATAAGGCATGATGTAAAAACATCATAGCGGTCCAACATCTCTTCAGCTGGTCTAACATTGAATTTAGTGAAACATTGGAAATGGTAGACTGTTTTTAGCATAGATTTGTTTCAATGGAAAACAATTTTTAAAGGTATATAACAAAGTGAAATTAAAACCATCCTGTTAAGTTCCCAATTTACTGTACTAATTGAATTTTGTTTATTCACCTTGTAAAAAATATAAGTATTGTAAACAATGTTTATTTCATTTTACATTCTAGGAAAAAAAATTCATGAAGGTTTGTTTACACTTTGGTGTTTAAGTAGACGTTTGTTTTTAATGATGGGTGATTTTTTATGGATGTAGCCGAAAATTTGACACACTTTTTCTGCAGACTTGTGGATGTATAGCATACATACATGTAGATAATATTATATGTGCAGTCCATGTTTTAATAATGGTAACTGTAAAAAAAAAAATTAAAATTCAATAATTTTGGATTTTTCTTTTCTTTTTAATAGCCTGCTAAACATGCAGAAAAATATTGTATGTACGAGGGTTGTTCGGAAAGTTTATGGACTGTCATAACTTTTTGAATTAACGTCATATCATATCCAAGTTTGGAAGAAATATTTCAACGGTAAATTCAAATGATGTGTATTGAAATTTTTTTAAAATATTGTGGTTTATTTCAAACTTATTTAGACTTAAAAAATGCGCAAATCGGATCAACGAGCAGATCAAAATTTTTTAAGTTACAATTAAGACACTAAATAATGTCTGAAGTTATATCTTCTGTAAAATGACACAAAAATGAAAAAATTCTACATGTTTAAATTAGGAATTGTTTCATCGTTTCTGATTCCAATTATGATTTAATATTTTGCTTCATTGAAAAGAAATCAGTTTCAGAAGATAGGTAGTCCTCACTGAAAAAGGCAAAAAAGATGACGTCGTAGAAAGTCACGGAGCAGCAATTTACCATACAATTTTGTGTTTTACTCTGGAAAACTCCAGAAAAAAAAATCTAAAAATGTCAGCGGAAGTAGGAAATACTGTATGTCAAAAGCGAGCCAAGCATGTGTTTGTACATGGTACAAGCGGAATTTGAATGATAGACTACTTTGCTTAGACGATGGCGGTCTGTGAGAAAATGGATTATCTGTAAAAATCTTGCCAAAAACATTGAAAAGTTAGTAGCGTCATGCTAAGAGTTTGGTGCTTCACAGATGCTGATCTTGTAAAAGCACATTTATGCAGTGAAAAAAATATGACATTGACAAACAAAATGATGCTCCTGGAACAATTGTTAGCAAAATAGATTTCAAATGATAGAGAAACGTTTTTAATGAGTGCACTGGTATTGGGCAATACTGCAATACTGTGTGAAATGTATAGGGAGAGTATTTTTAAGAATCTCTTCACGGTATGTTTTTGACGTTACAGTGTTGTTGAGTTTGCGCCATGGTTACAAAACGTGTTGATAATGTGCTCATTTTAAATTCCTCAAAGATAGTATAGCGAAGATCGGCATAGTCTAAGAACTTTCTGAACAACCCCCATAGAATATTGAAGATGTAATGATATTGCATACATTCATAAATCTGAGTTCTCTAGCTGCAACCTGGTTATGGCTCTTCTATTTCCTTATATCAATGACTGTCTAAGCTAAGGAGGAAAATTCTGCCTCTGTGACCAAAACAGGACTGTCCCAAGAATATTTAACCAGTTGTTCATTTCCCAAGGGCAGAATTTATCAAAAAAAAAAAAAAATTAAATTCCTTTTTTGAATGGTAGAATATATTTGTACTGTTTTGTTTCAGGCTGTTGCAGCAACAGGGGAGAGAATTTGAGAGAGGTTAAGGCCATGTGATTTTCCAATTCAAAATCTGTGGGATGTGAAGAACTCTACTACAGCATACAGTGACTGTGTAGCTGTGACATCAGTATTTATGTCTTCCCCTTTCAAAAGATTTCATATCTTCACAGAGGAAACTGGGTACCTTGTTTATGTATGAACGAGACTCCAGTTGTCTTTGAATTATATTGATTTATTGTCTTCAACATCATAATTTATCATTCTGCCAGCATTTACTACACATGTAGAAAGATATAATGCACTAAACATGCTCATAAAAAAATAAAAATTGAACTTATGTCCTGGTGTACAATGAGGAAAATGAGGCAACCCAGTTCACTTCAAATATCTGCCACATAAAGTCATACATTATTGCAATGATAAAGTTACACATTTATACATTCATAATTTCTAGAGAGCCAGGTGCTAGTAACAACACTCATGTTTTTACAATTTTTCATTTCAAAACTCACATGTCCATAAATCTAAATCTAATTTATGTAGACTGTAGGAGTCAGATAATTGTTATTGAAACAAACTATGTATTTTTAAATACTGAAATGCCACAAATCTTGAAATGAAGATTTGTTTATAAAATTTTTTGTGTAAGATCTTAATTTTGTTTTTGATCATGTTGTTATTTTATGAAAATATATGGTAAAGAGACCAGATGAGCTTGTGCAAATAGTAAGATGTCGATCTGTTGTGAATTTTTTTTTCAAAACGATACTCCTTGTACAGATTTGGTCCAATTTCAATAAAACTTTGAACACCAGTATACTATACATATTTCTATTTATCTTTTATGATTTTGTCAATTGATGTTGCCATGTTTACTAAAAATATTTTTTTTTAATTTTTTTAAATGCTACTCCTCCTATATCATGTTATGATCCAGTGTTAGTAAGACTTGGTATGTGTAAAGTACACTAAGCCGCAACAAAATATTTCCAGACTTAAATAAAAAAAATGGGTTTGTTAGTACTTGAGAGATTTTTTCACAGAAAATTTCAACATCATTGTTGAATTTTCAAAATCTATTAATTTGAATACATAAAAAAAAATTGCTTCCTGGCGGTTAAAACAAGAATCCCATGGGCCACATCGCTCACCTGAGCACATTGGCTTAAACAGAAGAATTTTAAAGATTTTTTTCCCTATGTAAAACTCGGCTCATTGTGGCCCCACCCTAAATTTGTACAAATTTGAACCTGCACTACCTGAGGATTCTTCTATATTATAATATAACTAAACATGGCTTTGCTGTTCTTTAGCAAGATTTTTTTAAGATGACTCCTATATATTCTTATGTAAAACTTTGACTCTCTGTTGTGCCCTCCAACCCCTAGGGGTCATAATTTGAACAAACATGATTCTATAATACCTAAAATTGCCTCTGAATAAATATGATGAATAATTAATGGCTGAGTTATTCTTGAGAAGAAAATTTAAAAGATATTTCCTATGTAACGTGTATGATCAGGATATATAGGTTTTCCTTTTTTAGCTCACCTAAGCTGAAAGCTCAAGTGAGCTTTTCTGATCACCCGTTGTCCGTCCGTTTATCAGTCTTGCTGTCCTACCGTCTGTAAACTTTTCACATTTTCAACTTCTCAAGAACCACTGGGCCAATTTTAGCCAAACGTAGTACAAAGCATCCTTGGGTGAAGGGGAGTTTAAATTGTTAAAATGAAGAGCCAAGCCCCCTTCCAAGGGGAGATTATCAAGAAAACACAAAAATAGGGTGGGATCATTAAAAAAATCTTCTCAAAACTACGTGGTCAGAAAAGCTTAAACTTATGTGGAAGCATCCTGGAGTAGTGTAGATTCTAAATTGTTCAAATCATGACCCCGGGGGTAGAGCAGGGCCACAATAAGTACTACAAGGGGGAAGACCAGGTGAAAAACAGCAAGGCCAAAGTTACTCAGAAGAGCGTTGTGGCCCAGGGTCTCTTGTTTTTATCTGAATTAATGATTATTAAGACAGCTCTCTCTGAGGGTGTATCACACAGTACTTAAAGAATGATGTGCCAAACTACTTTCTGCGGCCCCCTTTTTTATATTTATTCTACAACGATTTTGATGGTTTTCAAACAAAAGGGAGTACATACGACCCCTTTTGAATAGTTTAATAGTTCCAACACATTTTAATTATGAGGATTGCTGCATTATATATTATTTTTTAGACCCCATGAGAGCAAAATTCGGCCTGGTTTGTGACAATAGGATCTTTTATGAAAAGAGAATAGGCGGGTCTTGGTACAATAGAGGGGTATGCATGTCCGAGGAATCTACCTTAAACATGTATGGCTATTGTTATCATATCGCACAGTTGCTTACCGAGAACAGTTGGCCTATCTGATGACTGAACGACAAAAACATGCTGGTTTACTACATATGTTTACTTTTTATCACAGACAGGTGGCTTAGTTCAATTTACACATTATCTCTATTACATTTCAAACTTTTAATGGTCAGCAACGACTTTTTATGCATGATAAAACGTATGGAACCTCAGTATTTACTGTTTTGGGTCGAAAAATTCACAATGAAACGTGTATTCACTGATTCTCGGGAATACGTGTAGCCAATTGCCCAACGACGCTTTAGAAAACTATGAAATTATACAATGTGTATTTATTTAAAAAAAAATGTTTCTAATTATGAGCAGGGAAATTATAGATTCGTGTCTATAATCTGTGATTTAAATGAATAAAAAATGTTTTTCGGAAAACAAGAAAAAAATTACGCCTTTTTTCCAAGCATTAAATTTCCTTAGAAATTTTGTAGTTCTCACTCGTAATGCAACTCGTTTAGCTGATTGGTCGGTTAGAAAGTCACGCCGATGCCTCGATTAGCATATGAACTTATTCTTGCGTCAGAAAAAAATTGTTTCGTCGATCTGTTCGTTATCGGGAAGACCAGCCAGATTTTACAATGTTTTAAACACAATATTTGAGCGCAGTAAAGTACAACCTTCTCCTCTCACATATAGGTAGATTTCAATAAAATACAGCGACCATCCAAAGGAGAAAATTGTACCTACTTGCGCTCGTATATTTTAAGGGCTTCAAAGATGGGGCGGGGCCAAAATTCAATGGGAATTGGATGTATACATGGTACCCTACTCAAAATAAAGATAAATATCTTCCAAATTATATTTCTATTTTCGGTTAAAGTAGTATTCCATGACGGAACACATATCAGTGATTAAGTGGATGCAAAAATTAGAGTAAATTTAGATATTTTATTTTTTGTCAATTTACCGGAGGCCGTATGGCACATCATCCTTTTCTCCTATCTAGAGATGGGGACTGGGTAAGGTTCTACTAGCACCGTGTTTCTCCCTCTAGGTTCCCATTGTTAGATAAGAAGCAGGTGTCTCAATCTTCTTCAAATTTACTACACCCAGAACTTAACAACAAATCTATAGGATACTTGCCACTGTTTTTTTTTTTTTAACCTTTATACTTTTATTTTTGCTCTTACCCTTTACGTTTTCCATCCTCCATCCTTAAACGTCCATCACATACACAATACTCTATTGATTTAAAGCATTTTACAGTAGGAAATGATTTACCAAGAGAAAGTTTCGAAAATATAATTATTACCTAAGCAGTAATTAATTAACAAAGATTGCATTAAAGTCTATGAGAATTAAAAGCAATTTTTAAAAAAAAAATTCAAAAAATAAGAATATCAATAAATACTGTGGTGGAAAGATGCATCAAAACACATTAGAAATAGAATGACAATTGAAAATGATTTTTTTTTTACCAGATAAGTTTTTTAAAAATTGATTTTTTTTATCAATCAAAAACAGACGGAGATAACCGTTACCAAAATTCAAGGTCACATATGAGGACACATCCCCCCCCCCCCCCCCACTTTACATGCTAATAGTAATAAATGGGAATTATGTTTAAATATACTGAGTATTCAACACCTGCACATATGTATTCAAGTTCATTGAATCTGTTGCTATTAAGGATGACCTTGGCGTTTTTATTGCTTCCATGCCTTACTTTTCCAAAGTTTTGCCTTATATACTCTTTGACTAGTCCATTCCAAAGGTTGTCAGGTCATTCAACTATTTGAAGTCTTCAATGCGTTTTACTCAAATGGCCCTTAACCACTTTACTTATATATTCATATGTAAAACTTTGACCTATTGTTGTTGACCCGCCCTACCCCCAGGGGTAATGATTTGATAAAACTTGAATCTACAATACCTGAGGATACTTCTGTATTAATATGACTAATAATGGCTTAGCTGTTTTTGAGAAAAAGGTTTTTAAAGGTATTCCTATATATTCCTATGGTAAACTGAACCCCTGTTGTGGCCCAATATAAGGCCTTGTAATTTTTTTTTTAATTACTACAGAAAATAACTACCCCAGGGGTCATGATTGGAACAAACTTGAATTTACACTATCTGAGGATACTCCTGGTACAATATGTTTAATCATGGCTTTACTGATCTCAAGAAGAATTTTTTTTTAGACATTTCCTATATATTCCTATGTAAAACTTCGCCCCCTCTTGTGGCCCCGCCCTACCCCTGCGGGTTATGATATGAACAAACTTGAATCAAGAATATGTAATGTAGCTTTCACATAAGTTTCATCTTTTCTTGCCCACTGGTTCTTGGGAAGAAGTTTTTTAAAAGATGCCACTAAATTTTCATGAATTCTTAATTATCTCCCCTTGAAAGAGGGCGTGGCATTTCCTATGAACAAATTTAAATCCCTTTTACCCAAGGATGCTTAGTGGCATGTTTGTTTGAAATTCGCCCTGTGGTTCTTGAGAAGAATTCAAAAAGTGAAAAGTTTACAAACGACAGACGGACACTAAACACTCTTTGATCAGAAAAACTCGCTTAAGCCTTCGGCTCAGTGGGCTAAAAAACGCAATTTCACAGTGACGTCATCAGTGGTCAACGTTTTCAAAACATTCCATTTATACTGTTGAGGTTTCACTTTGAAAATCTAAATCAATCTATAGTGTGCCAATATTTATTATAAATCAGTTACAGAAAAGCTCACTTGAGCCTTAGGCTCAGGTGAGCTAAAAGTTTTGAGGTGGGTCAATTCTAGCCAGTCGGTCAGTAGATTTCAACCATGCAAACAACTTTTAGCTCACCTCAACAAAGTCAGGGGGAGCTTAGGTGATTACTTTGGCGTCAGCGTTCCAGGTTAAAGTTTTTTGGTGCAGTTTTCTTTTAAAGTACATCTCTGCCCTGTATTTACCAGAGATGCATCGAGGATGCTTTTAGTGTGTTTCATTGTACTAGTCAAGGTTTCAGATGCTGCAAATTCAGCTAAAAATGAGCAGGTTAGGGTTTTTAGAGCAGGTTAAGGTTTTCGGAGCAGATTAATGTTTATGCATCAGGTCACATTTTCAATGAACAAATAAGCCCTATGTTGACAAAACTTCTATGGATGATACATCTAAGGATTTACATTACCAGGCTTGCTTTGGATGCTGGATCTGACCTACATTTTCCGAATGAGTAATCAGGTTAAAGTTTTTGAAGCTGATTCATTCTAGAGTTACTATGAGCCTTATGTTGAACAAACTTGCATGGATGATACATCTAAGGATTCGCATTACCAAGCTTGCTTCAGATGCTAGATCTGATACATATATTTAATGGATGAGGGACCAGGTTAAAGTTTTTGGAGCAGATTCATTCTAAAGTAACTATTTGCCGTACCTTGAGCAAACTTGCATGCGATACATCTAAGGATGCACATTACCAGGCTTGCTTCGGATGCTGGATTTGACCT